TCCTATCCTATCCTATCCTATCCTATCCTATCCTATCCTATCCTATCTGCTCTAGAGAAAAGAAGGACTAGGGGTGACATGGTAGCAGTCTTCCAGTATCTGAGAGGCTGCCACAAAGAAGAGGGAATCAAGCTATTCTCCAAAACACCGGAAGGCAGGTCAAGAAACAACGGATGGAAACTAATCAAGGAAAGCAACCTGGAATTAAGGATAAACTTCCTAACAGTGAAGACAATTATCCAGTAGAACAGCTTGCTTTCAGACGTTGTGGGTGCTTTATCACTGGAGGTTTTTAAGAAGAAACTAGACAGTCACTTCTCTGAAATAGTAGAGGTTCTCCTGCTTGAGCAGGGGGCTGGACTAGAGGACCTCCAAGGGAACTTCCAGTTCTATTCCTATTCTAATCTAATCTAATCTAATTCCTATTCTATTCTAATTTAATCTAATTCCTATTCTATTCTAATCTAATCTAATTCCTATTCTATTTTCTTTTCTTTTCTATTCTATTCTATTCTCCTTTGAGCAGAATAAAGGATTCGATTTGATTCAAGAGTCCATGGCTAAGGGTTGAATGGGAACTGGATCTCCCTGTTTTCTATGCTGCAGTTTTGCACAGATAATCTTACCTGTTTGAGCTGATTTCCCTCCATCTACAAAGAATGATCTCTTTTCTTGTCGGTGGGTGTCAAAAGTCCAGAAAATTTTCACGATGTAGCCGTTCACCTGTCAAAACCAACAGTACAAAATGTGCAAGACGGACAGATAAAATGCCTGATCAATCATACCTGGATGGTTTTGTTTTACAGGAGTGAATGAAAAGGGCCCATCCCTAAAAGGCCATTTCTTTTAATAAAGGAGAATCTTTTTTTAAAAAAAAACTGTTTTGAGAAGACAGAAATATTATGATTCTGAAAAAGGGGGATGAAGTCAAAGAGGTTTGACTTCTTCTGTCTGGCTCAAGGAGTGGGGCTTGACATACGTCTGAGAAAAACTCATCCTGGCAAAAGAGAAAGGATCACTGTGAACAGAATTAAAAACTGGTTGAAATCAGGGAAAGAAAGCTTATTTTGGCTAATTTGATTCTGGCCTCAATAATGTATTTATGTAGAATTAGTATAATTAAACATTCTCCTGCCCAGGTTTTGTAAACTGATACAACGAACTCCAAACTGCACAAACACACATGAACACACACTAGATAGTTTCTCCCCTTCGCTTCCCAAAAGTTATGTTTTATTTTTGAATTTTCGTTTGCTCCCTCTTAAGGAAAGCCGTTAAGTGTGCAGCTTTGGGGGGGATTGACCTTATAGTTGGTTAAAAGTGGCAGCAGTTAGAAAGGAAGTATTGTGGACTGTTGGCCAACGGCCCCTCCAGGAACCAAATCAGAGGAGGAGGAGGAGGAGGAGGAGGAAGAAGAAGAAGAGGAAGAGGAGGAGCCGAATCGGAGGAGGAGGCATGTGAGTCAGGATGAGCATCAAGGCAATCTGAGAGCTCCGAGGGGGAAGAGGGAATGGAGGAGAGAGAGAGAGAGAGAGATAAGAGAGAGAGAGAAGAGAGAGAGAGAGAGATATGAAGCCTGGGCCATCTGTCAGCCCTCATATGGAGATCAACAGCCCCCAGGTCTGGAGGTGGCTGATGAGAAAGAGGAGGAACAGCTGGGTCCAGTGCCTGACGCATGAGTGCACAGAAAGCAGAGGAGAGGAGAGCAGTGGAAATCTATGGGCCGGTCCTTGGGATGGAAGAGCCACTGCCGCTAGCGGAGCCCCACCCTAGCTCTGGGGATAAAAGGCAGGGAGCGGAGGGGAATAGATGTGGCGGACCACTATTCATCTCCCGGCCAGATGGACTTGTTAGCCGGCATTAAGAAACTTTTTTGCCGGAGCTGCTGGTGTTCCTAATAAAGGAATCTTTCAGTTAATTTCAGAGGGTTTGCTGTGTTTGGAGAGCTGGGTCAGAACCATAAGACTATGTCTCACCTGAATATTGGCGTCTAGTCTGAGGGTAAAGCTTATGGAGTTTTCATCATAATTATCAATATGGATCGTAGGAGGCGGAATAACTGAATGGGGTCCAAAGAGAGAAAGAAAGAGGCATGAGATTTAACATTGATAGCATTGGATAACTAAATTTATGACCAGTTACAGCACCCAAAAAAGCTACTTAAAACCAATTTTCAAAGTTAAACAGTTGCCACACAGACATACATGGTCATGCAGTCACATTTGAGACCCCTGGCAACCCGCTGACTTTTACAGCTGTTGTAGTGCCCCTTGGTCAAGGGGATGTGATCCATTTTTCCTCCCTGATTTCTAAGGATTTACTTCTGCTTTGAGTAAATGGTTTTGCTTAACACTGCAGCATTTGCTTTATGACCCACAGCAAAAAAGAAAGAAAAGAAAAGAAATTGGGTCTGATCACCTCAACTTACAACCACAATGACTTATGATCACAATTCTGGGGTTTAATTATGGTCACATGCTGAGGTCTATCTGTAATTTATTCACTGGTATATAACTTAATTGCAGGATATAACTGCCATAGGGTGGGAAGGTATGCTTCCAATTTAAATACATATACATAATATATAATACATACATACATATATGTGTATATGTGCGTGTATGTGTACAAAAATATTGGCAGCACACTTTCTCACCACACATAAACATATAGATATATAGATATACATATACATATATGTATGTATGTATATGTGTGATGACCCGTGGTGTGATACAAAGGCAACTCAGCCAGAAAATAAGTATGGGTCTCTTTATTAGCTCCAACTTTGCCCCAATGTCCCGGTTACCTTCCGGTCTGGAGAAAAAAACTCTCCCACGAACCTGCAACAGCCTTTGGCCGCAGATATTGCAAACAGAAAACTTTAAATTATAAATCCAACAAAGTAAAATAGGGTAATAAATCCATCAGGGCAAGATAGGGAGTTCCAGAAGTGAACTAACACGGCAGTAAATCAAACCAGTTGGGAGGATGCCAGGAACTATGATAACAGCAGCCAACATTAGATAAACTCAGCGATTGTTCCCAACAACCACCCCACCCAGCTGCCTCTCCTTTAAACTCCCTCCCCTGGTGTGCCTTCTGAAGGGAATCAGGGCCCTTTCCTCTCTCGTAAGCCATGCAACCCATGTTGCTCTCTTCTCCGTTCTTCCCTGCGTGCCCTAGGATGAAGAGGGGGTAGGCCTTGGTCTTCCTCTGAACCTCATCTCCCTTGTTCTACCCCTTCCCTGCTCTGCCGGACTTTGCTCTTCCCCAGTTTCCTCCACAGCCAACGGAGCTACACTCCCGCTCCCTGTCAGCTGTTCATCTTCCTCCTCGGATTCAGACTCTAACAGGGGCATAACAATATGTGTATATGTATACAATATGTATATGCATATAAATTTAAATTGGCAGCACACCTTCCCACTTATGACAGAGATATCCTGCAATGAAGTAAAGCATCTCTTAAGTTTCAGCTCAAAGACAGATAATTTCATGGACGCAACAGGCTTTGGGGCAACAACATGGAAATGCTTTCTACTGCAAGGAGGGCCTTCTCCTTGGTCACAGCTCTGGGATTTCTCTCCTCCAAGTCAAAGTCCAGGCAGATCTACTGAGCTTTTGGAGGCCAGGCGGGGTGGACCAGCTGCTGCCATCTAGCTGTCTTTACCCACCTCCGTGTCCAGTCTAGTGTGAGCAAAGAATTCCAGAAATTAAGTCCTGAAAGGTTTTTTTTACCTTTGCCTTTTATAGTTCGTATGGATTTGGAATCACTCCAGTTGCCCACTCCACGGCTTGTTACCGCGGCAACCTTTTCAAAACAGAAAAGCTAGTTAAAATAGGCAATCCATGATCCTGGATAAAATAGCTCTTTTTTTTTTTTGAAACAAACAAACGCCAAGGAAGTTTATAAGTGAACGGCCGGGAGGGGAGGGAAGAACAGATGGCATATTCAGTGTTATTCTGAAGGAAATGCTGAGCGATCCAAAAACAGGATCATTCCACCCTCTCCCCGAAGGGGCAGGCACTACAAAACCCAGGATTCCCACCCAGTACAACTAAAAAAGCTTTGGGGAGGCCGCTCTCAAAAGCCAGAAGACTTCTGCCAAGTGATGGATCCCAACAGCCATGGATAGAGACCCTGCTGCTAACCAAATGGACCTTGGACTGAAGGATCTCCACATCCAAAGGAAGTGGATGGAGGAAGGTGGAGGAAGACGCATGCAGAAGATTTCCCCAGACAAGTATGGGTTATTGTCAAAAAAGGAACAACCCAAGACGTGTCCATCAAGGAAATGTTAAAGAGAAGAACAAAGACAGAAAGATCCTTGCTTGGTATAAGAAATCTGGAAGACATTTTCAGAAGAAGCTTCTGCAAAGACATTCCTCCCCTAGTTAACTGGCTCCCCTGGTTAACTGACTCCTGCCAGTTCAGTGTGGGTGCAGTATTTGCAACTCACCTTCTGCTGCAAAAGTGTGCAAAACAGCTGTCACACGGCAATCGGCTGTGCTGCGCGAAGCAGCTGAGGTTGAAAAGCAGGAAATAATACTCAAAGCAGGGAATATGCTCATAGAGCCAGGTTGGGTGGGAGGCCCAGTAGCTGATCGTCAGAGCGGACTGGTTTGCTCACATATGATCCTCGGGAGCTACTGGTTCGGTCGAAATGGGCTGAACCGGTAGAATACCACCAATTCCTCCCCTAGTTAACTGGCTCCATCCTGATAGTTGAGGTTCCATCAAAATCTGCCCTTCGATTGGCTGCATTGCCCTGAATCCATTGCCCTTTTTAACGTCTATTCTTCTTGGGACAACAGAAGAATAGAAATCTCCTAGTTCTACAGGCCAAGATCAGCTGATTGCTCATGGAGGGCTAATAAAAGAAAACATCTACTCACTCTGAAAACATATAAGGCGTTGACCTGCAACATCTCCACTTCTGAATAGTTGGTGGGCGCCCTTACGGAAGACCATTCCTTTGAACCGGCTCTGCTGTATTCCACCTACCAGGACGGAAAAATAGGGACAACCATCTCCTTGCTAAAGTCACCTTTCAGCAGGCTAAATCTTTTTAAGATCCTGCCATTGTTGTGTCCCAGAGATTCGGACAGTGAGGTGGTTGGAGAGGAACATGGGCCAGTCCTGGAATCTGGGGAAGGCTCTGATGAGGGCTTTGCGTTAAGAGGCAGAGATAGGGCCAGGGCCATGTAACAGTTACCAGCTGCCTTCAGAGTCAGACATCAGAGAGGCAGAAGAACAGCTGGAGCTTGTTCCCAGTGTGTGCATGCACAGAGCTGCCAGAAGAAGGGAATAGCTAAGGAACAAGGGTTGACTTGGGAGTAAAGCCACAGGTCGACGGTGGACGGCCCCTCCCATAGGGAATAAAAGATGAGAGATAGGGGAGTGGGGTTTTGCAGGTGACAGTTAGTTCATTTGGGTAAAGATCTATTCCTGCATTCTTGCTAAGTATTGTCTGCTACAGTGTGGCATCTGAAAGATATCGGCCTGGCAACTCTCCAAGCCTGATAAAAGGTCTGTAATTGTGAAATATCTTGAAAGACTGTTGGCCAGAACTTTGCTGGAGAGGAATTCACTGTAAACTAAATAAAAGGGGTTTATCAGAACGAGAAGTCAGCTTCGTGCTGTTGGGGAAGCCTAGGTCAAAACAGCCATGACCTCCAATGAAAGGTTTGAATCTGCAGGTTTGACCTTGTATATCTGTGGAGCGAAACCGCAATTGAATAAGATCACCAGAGGGAAAATGGCGCCCCTTATACCTGTCCAATGCCTGTTAAAATCAATTCTCCATCATCGGGGCCAGCGTTATCTCCATGTACACTGAGATACTTACAACGTATTCTCTGATTAGACCATGGGCATTTGCTGGAGGGGCCCACTGGCAAACCACGATGCCTTCAGCTTCTTTCTTCAGCTGCAGTTGAAGATGGCGGGGTGGATCTGGGACTGGAGAGAGAGAAAAAGAGAAGGAGGGAAGGAGGAAGGGAGGTGGAGAGATAAGTGGTCCTGTTGGAGCAAACCAGGGACTGATCAATCCCAGATTTCTCTTAGTGGCCAACCAGATGCATGGAATTCAGGAGCTTGGAGAACGGAGCAACTGACTTCTTGCCCTGGTGGTACCCACCTCTAGTGTGTCTAGTTTGTTATGTTTGAGGTCTAGTTGATGGACCTCCCAAAAGCTATCAACACTGCCAGCCATCGAAAGTGCATCTTCCAGGCATCTTTCTTTGGTAAAAAGGACAGGACATCCTTGAGTCAAGTACAGCTCTCCTAACTGAATGACCTCCTTGTAGCTGTGGAAGTTAAACAGTTCAGCCCACCCTTTGTACATAATGCTACAAACACCTGCACATCAGATGAGGAAGGAAGAAAGAAATGGGATTCATAGCCTTGAGAAGGTTAAGAGGGCCTCCTTCTGCATCTTTCCAGAATGCAGAACGTGGACCAGTGATCTTGACGGACAGATTTGGCTTGAAAATTAGGAAAAAGTTTCCCAATTCCCAACACCAAGAGTGGCTTGGATGGAACCCAGAAGGGTTGATGGCCTCTATGTGGTTGGAGAACCTTGATCAACATCTATAGCAAGGCTCTTCAAACTTGGCAAGTTGAAGACTTGTGGACTTCAACTCTCAGAATTCCTGAGCTAACATGACTGGAGGAGGAATTCTGGGAGTTGAAGTCCACGAGTCTTAAAGCTGTCAAGTTTGAAGACCCCTGATTTATAGGGTAAGGTCATTTGCGTATTCCTGCCCTGATCATCTATCATTTGGGTTTGGGTTTTTGGCTAATCTAGAAAAAAAGAAAGGCTAAGGGTGACATTTCCGGTATCTGAGAGGGGGTCAATTTATTTTCCAAAGCCCCAGAAAGCAAGACAAGAAACAATGGATGGAAACTAATTGAGGGAAGCAACCCTGGAATTAAGGAGAAACTTCTTAATAATGAGGACAGTTGACCAGTGGAACAGCTTTGACTTCAGAAGTTATGGGTGCTTCATCACTGGAGGTTTTTAAGAAGAGATTGGACAGTCGCTTGTCTGAAATGGTATAGGGTCTCCTGTTTGAGCCGGGGGCTGGACTAGAAGACCTCCAAGGTCCCTTCTGATTCTGATTCATTTAGAGATCATTTAAAGGTGCATGAGACTTTCTCCTCTACAACTAAATACTCGGGGCCAAGCAATATGAGTTTTTAACACCACCATTACCCCATCTGGGCTGTGAAGAAAGGCTTACGTCCTTCTGGAGTCCGTAAGACTATGAAATCGTTGGTGTTGTACACTTTGCTCAGGCACTGGACTTGGACCTTGACTTGGTACGTGCAATCCGGCTTCAGTACTTTCAAGATAGTGTTGGTTTTGCTGCTGTGGGTTTCCACGGATTTCCACATGCTTTCTCCCACCATCCTAGATTTGGGAGAGGACAAAAAAAAGCACCACGTCACGGAGGTGAAATGATGGACAGGCAGTTTGGAAATTGTTCCATGCACGCATTAATCAGGGGCAGGGCAGGAAAAAGAAGCCATGAGTGGAAGCTAATCAAGGAGAGAAGCAACTTAGAACAAAGGAGAAATTTCTTGACTGTTAGAAGAATTAGTCAGTGGAACAACTTGCCTCCAAGAGTTGTGGATGCTCCATCACTGGGAGTTTTTAAGAAGAGATTGGATAGGGTGTAGGGTTTCCTACCTATGCAGGGGGTTGGACTAGAAGACCCCCAAGGTCCCTTCCAACTTTGTTATTCTATTCTATTCTATTCTATTCTATTCTATTCTATTCTATTCTA